GGCAGCTCCCTGAGCAAGGCTTAGTGCCTGTGAGCACTGGATTCCCCAGTGGCAGGGACTTAGTTGGTCATGGTGGTAATGTGGACACTTCCTCTTGCCTACTTTTTCCCTACAAGGAGAAGTCCTTCCTGATTCCTGATTGATCCTGACTGAGGGGGGGTGGTGCCAGAGGTGAGGTATTTTCTTCCTCTAAGAGGCCATCCTGGTTTTCTGCACTCTACAGGGTTTCTGCTACTCATTTGATATATTCCAGCATTCTTCCGTTATTTTCATCAAAATGTATTTCTTCGTTTGTGGGTTTGGCTGTCCTTTGGGTGGGTGGGGGGCACAAGCAGAAGGAGCTTCTAGTCAGTCATCTTGCTGATGCCATTTAACTTTAGCTTTTATCAGAGGATATCGTGATGAGATTTCACACATCCATTTCTCTCACTGTACTCCTTAGTACAGTACAGGCTCTCTTACCTGAGTTGGTGCTTAACAAATGATTCTAGAATGAGGAGTTGCATACAGTAATGAGCTAATTAATTGAGTGAACATGAGCGCCCTGACATCCCCTTTGGAAGGACAGACTGCTTCTGCAGGCAGTAGTAAGTGATTTGAGCCACCATCAATGACTGTGGCCTGGTGCTCCAGTGATTTCAAAAGCCAAGCATTGGTTTCTCTTTGCCTGTTTCTGTGGAATTGGCTTTTGCTCTTGCTCCATGAAACATCTGAACTAAAAGAGGGACAGCACAACTATTGAATACATTATTGAGTACTAAAGAAAGTAAGACACACCTTCATTCTCTGGATGATTCTGTATCTGCAACCACATCACAGTTGCCATTATTCTAGAGCAGAGGTCAGCAAACTTTTTCTATAAAGGACCAGATAGTAAAGATCTTTTACTTTGTGGGCTCCGTTACAACCAATTTACCCTTGTAATACCAAAGCAGCCTCGGACAATATGTAAACAAACAGGTGCATTGTGTTCCAATAAAACTTAATTTATAAAAATAAGCAGTGGGTCAGTTTGGCTCCTATGGCCCTAGTTTGTTGGCCCCTGTTGTAGAGTGCTACATGATCTCTCATGTTCTTTTAAAATTATTATTAATTAAAAGGTGCTCATTTTGTGAAGATATGTCAGAGGAAGGGAACATGCCTAGCAAGTGTGAGACTCTGGGGTTTGATCCCCAGCACACAAAAATAAAATAAAACAAAATATGTTCATTATCCTGTTCTTTTTCATTGCTTTTATGGTAGCCAATGAAAGGGTTGACTTATTTTGAATAGCAAGATTTTAAAAAATTACTTTTAAAGGCACATGCGGTCAGGTTGGGCAGGAGGAGCTAAAGTGTATATCCATTAAACATGGCTACTTAACAGAATGCCATGTCCTTCCCCAGACCCCAATCAGTTCAGCTTCATAACCAGTCCCTTCTCGCTCATGTCCTCCACAGCGATGGCCCCTCTCATATGACCCCAAGACTCTGCCTCCCTGTAGCCAGCATGACACTGGGGCAAGACTAGCCACAGCTCTCCCCCTCTCTTCTGTCATTTCAGCCTTGATACAAAGCTGTGAACTGAGTTCATGCTGACCATACAAACTCTCTGGAACCTCTTTAGTTCCCTCTCCAAAATACTGAGTTTGGCTTACGGCTGGCAGCCTTTGGTACCCTGCCCCTTCCTTCACCTGCCCTTCTCACTCACTTGCTAATCTTCGTTTCAAGTTAAAGGGTTATCATGAGGTTGAAAAAGCCAAGGTTATCTCTCCACCATATTTTACTCCCCTAAGGACATGTCTTTGAGTCTAGATTGGTCCATGCAAAAAAGTCTGGCTGGCAGTTTTACTGGCTTTCTTTCAACAAGGAGAGTGAAAATGCTGGTTGCCAAGCAACACATATGCCATGACTTCTTCCGACAACGTGAGGTTCAAAAAAATAGCAAGAAACATTTGTCTATATCATCATATCATGAGCGGGGATCCTGTGGGACAGGCAGGGCCAGCAGGTTGATACAACAACATAATATCTTTTCATTCCAACTTTGGTGTCTTTCCCTGGAGACTCACCTGGAGAGACAGAGGAGCAGGCCTTCAGTTCGGTGCAACTGATGGACAGACATATCATGAAGAACGCCATAGTATAGTCAGTCACCACCATTTGTAGATTCCATAGTTGCAAACTTTCTACTTGATAAAATTTCTTTCTAATTTTTTTAGTTAGCTTTTTTACTGCTGTGACTAAAAGGGCCAACCAGAACAATTGTAGAGGAAAGATTTATTTGAGGGCTCACAGTTTCAGAGGTCTCAGTCCATAGAAGCCCAGCACCATTTCTCGGAGCTCCAGGTGAGGCTGACCATCATGGCAGAAAAGTGTGGCAGAGGAAAGCAGCTCACATGATGATCAGAAAGCAGAGAGAGGGGGTCTCCACTTGCCAGATACAAATATATACCCCAAAGCCATAGTCCCAATTCCTGCCTCCTCCAGCCACACCCTACCACTTCAGTTACCACTCAGTTAATCCCTATCAGGGGATTAATTCACTTATTTGGTTAAGATCCTTATAACCCAACCATTTCTCCTCTGAACCTTCTTACATTGTCTCACACGTGAGCTTTTGGGGGACACCTGATCTCCAAATCATAACAGTAATCCCTGAACGATACTCAATGCACTTCAGAATCATTTCAGGACTTACAGAGTGGTGGAGACTTTGAGTCTCCAACCCATATGTTCCCCATTGAAATGGCACAAGGTGCTACTCTGCCTTCTTGTGTCTGCTCTTCTATTTATAAACAAGTGTGCTTTCAAGTTGATGTACTGCTATGTGGTTTTTGTTTTGTTTTGCATTTTTGTGTTTTTGTTGGTGATTTCACTGTTTTAAATGATCCCGTGCTTGGTGCTAACATGTTGTCTAATGTAACAAAGGGCACGAAGGCTGTGATGTGCCTTGTGGAGAAAACACACATGTTAAATAAGCTTCACTCAGGCCCGAGTTACAGTGCTGTCGACTTCAAGTTCAATATTAATGAATCAATACAACAGTACATTCAGAAAAAGGAAGAGGAAATTCCCTGATCTATATGTAAGGGCACTCCAGAAAGTACTAAGCTAATATCTGTGGTACATAATGAAGCTATAGAAATGATTTTAAAAAGTAACTGAATTTGTAGATTCATGAGATGATGAACAGTTAAGGGAAAAAAATCTGTATTCCAGAGTATTGTTGTGAGGCCAAAAGCCAAAGAAATTTATGGTCATATTGCTCTGGTTCAGGAAATGATTGAACCCTTCTTGGTTAGTGTTTATTATAAAGCAATACTGCATATGTTTTAGTACTTATAAGGAATAGGTATTAAATACGTTATCTTTCAACAGAAATACAAATAAAATAAGGTTGTGTAATGACCAGTTGATGAAACTGTTGTGACGGGATCCTCACCAGAGGCTCACTAAACCATGCATTTCCCTCAAAAGTCATGGACAATTATTCACTAATTCAGCATTCACAGGTATTTTATAGAACCTATATGATCACAACTATCCCAAATGGAACCCATCTTCTGCCTCCCATATTGAAGACAAGGCCCAGGTGCACTGTCTTTGCCATGATAAGACTCAACCGCCCCACTGAATGGCTATGTCCACGACACGTCCTTCCTGGACGTGAAGGGATTTAAATGTATGCAGCTGGTCCCTGGTGCCCCCTCCCCACACACACACACCTCCCTTATTGCTCCTTTCACCACTTCTGTCACTGGTCATTTTGCAAAAGGGAAGCCCTGGTATATTTATAAACTGTCCTGGTACTGAGCCGTTGTGAGCTCAGCATCCCTGAACAGACACCTTAATTGGTCTCAGATGGGAAGCAAAAACTATCACACCACAGTCTCTCCTCCCTGAAGCTGGATTCAGGTCACGTGTGAAATGGCCCCTTGTCTGTTGACAGTGGCCTGCATCTCCCACAGTCTGCTGAACTGGGCAGTCTCTCCCCAGGGGGTTCAGACGTGCAGATGAACTCCTCTCATCTGGAATTACAAACACATCGCAGAGATATGAACATAGGGCCTGGGAAACACAGAGGCGGCCTCAGCCTTCAGGGGAGGGGATGCTCCAGAGATGAAATGACACTTGGCAAATGCTGCTGATGAAGTAAGCAGAGGCTTTTAAAAGCAAGACAGAAAAAATGGTAGAACAAGTATAGGAATGGAAAAAGAAAATTTTTTGAGACATTCCTTTAGCACAATTCTTAAAGTGTCCAGAAACACAATCGGTAAACCCGTGGGCCTCATTATCATCACTCTGGACACTCTGGCCCCACACAGCAACTGAAAAGTTCCCAGAGGAGGCCTTTCTAGAAAGTTCTTTCAATTGCTGAGCAAGTGAGTATTTGGGCTTGTGTCTGTTTCTCCACTTATCAGGAATACAAATACTTTTTTCCTTCCGTGCTACTAGATGCAAATATGAGAATTAAGAGACAGTGAGGATAAAGTGGTTCCAACTCCTTGTAAGACATTTTGCATGCATTATAAACACATAGATCTTCAATACAAGTTCTCAGCAGGGAACTGCTTTTTTGTTACAGGGATTGCCTGTGTGCACAAACTTGCAGAGAAAGGCAGTGTATGCAGATAGCACGCTGAGTCACTGGTCACAAAGTCATTTTCTCCTGATCCCTTCTTCCCATTTCTATTCCCAGGCCTCATTATGTGCAATGTCATATGCACACAGACACACAGGAACATCCCATCACAGCCAGGACAGAAGTGCCCAGGGAGGTGTTTGCATGAATTTCATCTTTGGAGTAAGAAGCACTTGCTCAGCTGCCAACCACAAATAGCCCCATGCTCCCATGCTGGAAAATGATGCTAATTGGTGTGCCATTAAAAAAAAAAAAAAAAAGGAAGAAAAAAAATACCAACCACAACAAAATAACCATGTACAGACCTAAAGTCCTACCCTGACAGTCCATGTGAAGCATGGCCCACTAATGCAGCCCTAATTCACTTTGTTTGGCAGAGAGAGCAAGCTCACCATGCTGCTTCGGGAGTCTCTGGGGAACATGAACTGTCGCACCACCATGATCGCTCACATCTCTGCCGCAGCTGGGAACTATGCAGAAACCCTGTCTACCATCCAGATCGCTTCAAGGGTCTTGAGGATGAAGAAGAAAAAGACGAAGGTAAGCAGTTCACAGTGGGTGCAGTGGGTAATGGAGCTTTGGAGCCTTGCCCCAGAACTGAGTCAGAGAGAGCCAAATCAATATTGCTGATCCCCAAACACAGGGATGCATGTGAAAGCATCACTGTTGTGGTCTCCACCTCAGAGCAGGGGAAACCTTCCCATTGACAGGAGAGAGGCAGGTCTTCTGCTGGCCCTGGACATCCAGCCTGACCCCTGACAGGTAGTGCTTGGCATGCTTTAGATAGATTTTAAGATGAAAAATGTTGGAGAGATGGAAATCATTCAGTTTTTCTCTTGCCTGACTGGTTTCTATGTAGATGAAGACTCTGTCCTTCAATGAGTCAACTCTCTAAAGAGGGTTATTAACTTCTTGTTCATGTGACCCTATTGCCCACCCGTATGTTCAGGAGTGATTTCCTGGCTGCTGGAATTGTCGTGTTAATTCAGTGTTTTCTGGCTTGATACCGAGTCTGCTAGATGCCACTGGGCTCCTTTCCTCTGGCAGCTTGGCAAGAATGCCTGAGAGGACCATGGTGATTGTGGCCACTCAGATCCGGGGTGGGGCCAGCGATTAACATGTGGGAGGGCTTTTCTTTCCTTCTCCTTTATGTATTTTTTAATGGGGGGATGGAGTATAAAACAGGGTTTCACAACCAATGTTCTGTTGGTTGTATTCAGGAATAGCCCTTAAGAGGTAGGAAGGGGACTGGATCTCCTCTCCTGAGCAGCCTCTGATTCCTCAGTGTGCCATATAGGGATTATCTTAAGCACATACAGCCAAGATGTGGGACACTGGGCACTCTGGCCTGGCCCACTGGAGTCATGGTTCCGCTCTTCAATGCAGGAGGTCAACCAGGGGGACCTTCAGTAGCTCCTGTTGAGTCAGTGGCTTATACCATCTACCACATAATTGTCAGGCTCCCTGGGAGGGCTGTCTCAGAGGCGCCACATGTTAACTGTTCTCTCATTCATAGTACACGTCGAGCTCCTCTGGTGGAGAAAGCTCCTGTGAGGAAGGCAGAATGCGCAGGCCCACCCAGCTGAGACCCTTCCATACCAGAGCCACGGTGGACCCCGACTTCCCCATTGCGCACCTGTCCAGTGATCCTGACTACTCCTCCAGCAGCGAGCAGTCTTGTGACACTGTCATCTACATCGGGCCTAATGGCACAGCCCTCTCCGACAAGGAGCTCACCGACAATGAGGGCCCCCCAGACTTTGTTCCCATTGTGCCTGCCCTGCAGAAGACCAGAGGTGACAGCCGGCCCACAGAGGCAGGAGAGGCTGCAGCTAGCAAATCAGAAAGGGACTGCTTGAAGTGTAACACATTTGCTGAGCTTCAAGAGAGACTAGACTGCATTGATGGCAGCGAGGAGCCCAGTAAGTTTCCTTTCGAAGAGCTGCCTGTACAGTTTGGGGCAGAGCAGGCGAGCAAATGCCCCTCATTAAGCCAAGTGGCTGGGGCAAACTCACTTTCTGAGTCGGATAAGGAAGACAACGGGTCAGATGGCCCTCTGACTGATCGGGAAGGCACAGACAACCTGGCCTGTAAGATGCAAAGGAATCACTCCCCTGTGCCTGCCACAGCACGCAGCAGCAGCCCCACCCCAGCCTCACCCCGAAGCATCCCAGGCAGCAGCAGCCAGATGGTGCAGAGCCCCAGCCTCCAGAGCAGCCGGGAGAGCCTGAACTCCTGTGGCTTCATGGAGGGCAAGCCCAGGCCCATGGGCTCCCCCCGGCTGGGCATTGCCAGCCTGTCCAAGACCTCTGAGTACAAACCCCCTAGCTCTCCTTCCCAGAGATGCAAAGTCTATACCCAGAAAGGGGTCCTGCCAACCTCTGCCCCACTGCCACCCCTGAGCAAGGATTCTGGCATGGTCTCTAGCGAGTCCTTGCTGCAGCCTGAGGTACGTACCCCTCCAGTTGGAATGAGCCCCCAGGTTTTGAAGAAATCTATGTCTGCTGGAAGTGAGGGGTTCCCAGAAACCCCTGTTGAGGATGAGCATCAGGCAGCATCTCCCCCAGACTCCAAGAAGGAGATCCTGAGCACCACAATGGTGACCGTGCAGCAGCCATTGGAGCTGAACGGGGAGGACGAGCTGGTGTTCACGCTGGTGGAGGAGCTGACCATCAGTGGGGTCCTGGACAGTGGCCGCCCCACCAGCATCATCAGCTTCAATAGTGACTGCTCTGTGCAGGCCTTAGCCTCAGGCTCCCGGCCTGTCAGCATCATCAGCAGCATCAGCGAGGACCTGGAGGGCTACTCCAGCATGGCTCCCGTCTCTGAGGTGAGCATCACACAGTTCTTGCCCCTTCCGAAGCTGAGCCTGGATGGGAAGGCCCGGGAAACAGGCAGCAGGCGTTCCTCCATCAGCTCCTGGCTAAGCGAGATGAGCACCGGCAGTGATGGCGAGCAATCATGTCACAGTTTCATAGCCCAGACATGTTTTGGGCATGGGGAGGCCATGGCAGAACCTCCAGCCTCGGAGTTTGTTAACAGCATCCAGAACACTGCTGTGGTGTGCAGAGAGAAGCCCAAGGCAGGCCCTGACAACCTGCTCATCTTGTCTGAGGTCGGGGAAGACTCTTTCAACAAAGCCACCCCCATCAAAAGCTGCAAAATATCCACACTGGGCAAGGCCATGGTCACCATCTCCAATACAGCCAACCTGAGCAATTGCGAAGGGTACATCCCCATGAAGACCAACATCACAGTTTACCCCTGCATCGCCATGAGCCCTCGGAACGTGCAAGAGCCTGAGGCTTCTACTGCCATCTCCAAAACAGCTGCCAGAGCAGCCCCGTCCCAGGAGAGTAAAGAAACCAGTGCAAAGAAAGAGATGAAATTTGAGGACCCCTGGCTGAAACGAGAAGAGGAAGTGAAAAAAGAGAATGCTTTTCCCAGTGAAGAAGGGATTAGATATGAGACTGCCACAGGCCCCACTAAGCCTGAGACCAGGCCAGAGCAAGAACAGGATAGGAAGCCCAGCCCGGGTGACAGGCTCAGCAGCAGCAGTGGAGAGGTATCTGCCTCCCCAGTGACTGACAACTTCAAGAGGGTTGTGGATGGCTGTGAGATGGCTCTGCCTGGTTTGGTGGCCCAGAGCCCAATGCATTCCAGCAAAAGCCTGAAATCCAGCAGCCTTCCTAGAGCATTTCAGAAAGCCAGCAGACACGAGGAGCTGGACAGCCTCTTCTACCACTGCAGTGCCGACACCAATGGTCTGGGGACAGCATCAGGCACCCAGGCCTCTAAGGCAACCCTGGAGCGCAAGGTGGCTTCACCCAAGCATTGTGTTCTTGCCCGGCCTAAAGGGACTCCCCCTCTGCCTCCTGTCCGCAAGTCCAGCTTGGACCAGAAGAACCGGGCCAGCCCCCAGCACAGTGCCAGCAGCAGCAGCACCAGCAGCCCCTTGAACCAGCCAGCCACCTTCTTGGCCAGCTTCCCTGATGAGCCCAGCAGCAAGATGAAGGACGCCAGTAGCAGCAGCAAGCTCTTCAGCGCCAAGCTGGAGCAGCTGGCCAGCAGGACCAACTCTCTTGGCAGAACAACAGTCAGCCACTACGAATGCTTGTCGCTGGAGAGGGCCGAGAGCCTGTCTTCCATGAGCTCGCGACTGCACGCTGGCAAAGACAGCACCATGCCCCGTGCTGGCAGGAGCCTGGGCCGCAGCAGTGCAGGGGCCTCACCACCCAGCTGCAGCGCCACCCAGTCAGCAGGGGCGTCGCCCAAGGCCAGCCAGTCCAAGATTTCAGCTGTGAGCAAGCTCCTCCTGGCCAGCCCCAAAACCCGCAGCCTGTCCACCCCCACCACCAAAACCCTCAGCTTCTCCACCAAGTCGCTGCCTCAGTCAGTGGGCCAGAGCTCCAATGTGCCCCCCAGCGGGAAGCACATGTCCTGGTCCACCCAGTCTCTCAGCAGGAACCGAAGCTCTGGATTGGCTTCCAAACTGCCGCTGAGAGCAGTCAATGGGCGCATCTCCGAGCTGCTGCAGGGGAATGGAGGCGCTCGGGGTTTGCAGATCCGGGCTGGACCCGATGCGGAGGAGCGCAGTGGGGCCCCCGTGGAGGACAAGCCTGCAGCAGCGCACCTGCTGCCCTCGCCCTACAGCAAGATCACCCCACCGCGGAAGCCACACCGGTGCAGCAGCGGGCACGGCAGCGACAACAGCAGCGTTCTGAGCGGGGAGCTCCCGCCGGCCATGGGGAAGACTGCCCTCTTCTACCATAGTGGTGGCAGCAGCGGCTACGAGAGCATGATGAGGGACAGCGAGGCCACCGGCAGCGCGTCCTCGGCCCAGGACTCCATGAGCGAGAACAGCAGCTCTGTGGGCGGCAGGTGCCGGAGCCTGAAAACCCCAAAGAAACGGTCCAATTCAGGTAGGCGCTTGGGGACAGGGTCCCAGGGAGGTAAAGGGCAGGTGTGTGTGGGGTCCACTGCTCCCCTGTCCTCTGATGAGGGAACCTCCAGGTCCTGGGGATTGAGGTCTCATCTCTCCTTTCTGATATCCTGTCACTTGTAGGTCTTGGCTAGGGATAGAACCGCAGAAGGCTTCATTGTAAAAACTTGTTGTTATGTGCATCATTAGACCTTGAGGACACCACGGGCCCTCACTCTCAGCAGGGGGAAAGGCCAAGGTGCTGGATGCCCAGGAGCATCCATGAATCACTGGCTCTTCCTCCATAGCATCTCCTTACCTGGTCCCTGAGCCGTGGCTTTATTTGCTCAAGCACTGTACTACTTTTTAGAGGTCTCTGAGGGATCAGATCAGGTTCCCTGACCTCAGGACTACAGAAACCTGTATGTGGGACTGATAGTCTCCAAGACCTTGGCAGCCTCTCTCAGGGATGGAGCATACTTTGATTCATTGAAGGTGCAGTAGGAGAAGCCTTCCTCCACTCCCACCCCAAAGACAGTCATAGACAGTCATGTATGGACTCCAGCCGAAGGGGTTGCACTTCTGTTCACACACACAGTGCCACACCGTATTGACCCACTCATGCACTACCACCACTGTGGTGGGAGGGAGTCTTTGCCATCTCCAGGTATCTGTTGTCAAAAGGCAATACTCCAGAACTCAGGAAAACCACTGACATGTTTGTCAGAGTTTAGTGTGACATGTAACAGTTAGTTCTGGTGGGTAAGGAGAAGAGAACTGGAGTACTCACAGGGTAGGTGAGGTGAAAGACGGGAAGGAGAGAAGGAAGCAGGGAGACAGAAGCAAAAGTTACCAGGAATAACGAGATACTTGAGAATTTTGCCTGGAATCATTTTTATTCTTCAATGACTTCTAAAGAAATCGTCCTCATTCATTCTTTAGCTTCAGCATTCAAATACAAAAAGAATAATGCCAAGCCCCAAATGCAATGCAATTCTGTGCCTTGGTTGAAGTACAGGTGGCAAGGGGCCTGTCCTGTGCTACCCTTCTGTGGAATTCTAGGCTCTTCAGAAGCCACTGCTTTGCAGAATATGGGTGTCAACAGCCTATTTGGGATTAAAAGATGGGGTGATGTTCAGAAAGGGTTCTTTTTCTACTGTGCCAGCTCCATCTGCAGCACCTGCTCCACAGACTTTTTCTATCAGTCATGACATTGCTTTTCCCTATTCCACCACCAGTGAGTTCCAGCTCTGGAATGTTCCAATCCAGATATAAGGACTCTGATCAGAGCACATCATAACCCTCTGTCTTCCTCAAATCAAAGAAATGGCCTTAAGGAATCATGAATTCATGCAGTTTTACATCCCCAGATGCCCCACTAGCCCACCTCACCCCATCACAACTCACAGAACATGGCTGTGAGGATGTTACATTCTAAGCATGTTTGGAAAACTTCATGGCTGTCAGCACCTTGATGTCTTTATTTCCCAGTGGTGTGTGTTTCAGCATCTGATGCACTTGGTCTGTGCTCTGCTTCACCCACCTCAGTCTCAGCAGCAGACTTTGGAGCAGAACCCCTTATAAGACAAGTTGGAAGTGACAAGCTACTCAGTAAAACAAAACAGCTGCTGTGTCCTATCATCAGGGCCAAGGGCATTACAATGTGTTGGTATTAGTCACTAAACATAACAAAGTTTATCTACGCCACTATCTTTTTTTTAATATTTATTTTTCAATTGTATTTGGATACAATACCTTTATTTTACTTATTTATTTTTATGTGCTGCTGAGATCGAACCCAGGGCCTCGCACGTGCTAGGCGAGCGCTCTACCGCTGAGCCACAACCCCAGCCCTACGCCATTATCTTTGTGGGGAAGAAATATCTGCTGGCCTCCCCAGTACTTGACTAACAAACCCTGTTATTTCAACCTACCCAGTGTTGATCTTCAAATCCAGACGATTGTGTGACATTTGCTATGTGGTCATCTGTGTTTTAGTGTTAGAGAGTGCTTTCATTAGTTCTCTCTAATTAAGTGCCTTGAATTAATTGTTCTTTCACTGCTTTTTATTCTCTTTCAAGACTTTAATTTATTGGTTTGCCTGTTATAGTGGAACAAAGAGGAGGAAAAAGATGTGAAAGAAACAAATGTGTACAATAGCTCCTTGGAGAGTGGCCACAGGTTCTGCACATGACCTTGCTCAGGGCTGAGTCCTTTCACAGGCGCTGTCCTTTGAGGGTCTCTCTTTAGGTAAGGCCTTTGGAGGAAATAATATGAAATTAAAATGTGATGGTAGGTGCTATAGATAGGATTTCATGTGGAGTGCCCAGAGCATCAGACCTTTGTAATCTGCTGCCACAGATCCGGGGCTCCATGATGCATTTGGTGGTGAAGTAGTGCTTATTTCAGGTTAGGTGATCTTGTCTCACTTGTTTATGATTATTATTAAGAGAAATGCTGGCTGTGAGGTGTGATAAGCATCCATCAAAAACCACTTCTTTAGGAGAAAACATAAAACCCCTCAAAGGAAAATCCTAAGTAGATGGCTAATGTTAGAATTCCTAGAGATGAGACAGGCAGTTGTCTTTTATTTGAGATGGCTTTTGAGTTTGGAAAATTGTAATGCTTTGGTTATTCACTTAACAAAAAGGAACTAGAATTTTATCATTGGGTAAATAATGGTGAGCACTCTGATTTCCTTGTGATGCATATAACAATAGAAACCATCAAATATCACCACAGTTCATTATTCCAGCCTCATTCCTAGAGACCCGTGTTATTAGTGAAGAGTGAACATAATCAGGCTTATTCTTGTGGTCTTTGTGTGGAATAGTGCAGTGAGAAGATTAATCCAGAAAGTAGAAGGCATGGGATCTTGAGTTGTGTGATCTCTCAGAAATAATTAGCCACTCTGGGCTTCAGTTTTCTCATGTACAAGTTAAGTAAGGGATTTGGTAGATAATAGCCATGGTCTGCCTGCTGCCCACATCATAAGAGACTATGTCAATTAATACAAAGAATATTGATGGCAATATGACATCCTTTTCATAAGGCAACCCATTGTCAGTGAGTTTTATTTTTGGTTGTTATATCTAATAGTTTCCCATTACTGTAACAAAATACCCAAGGCAATCAACTTAAAGAGAGCAAAGGTATACTTTTTATTGTGGTTTCAGAGATTCTGGTCCCTAATCAAACAGGCCTGTTGCTTTGGGCAACACAGCATAGTGAGGAGTGTGTGGTGAAGCAAAGTCACTTACCTCATGGTGGCCAAGAAGCAAAGAGAGAGAGAGAGAGAGAGAGAGAGAGAGAGAGACTGGATTCTCATTATCCCCTTCAAGGGCATATCTCGGTGACCCAAGACCTCCTACTAGGCCCCTCCTCCTGAAGGTTCCCACCTCCCAGTCATGTCACGGGCTGGGGACCAAGCCCATAACATAGGCTTTGGGGTTATACCCAAAATTACACCACAGCACTTGTTAGGCATTCATCAGGCATGCACTCCTAGAGCTTAGTGATAAAGAAGGTTCCAGTGAGGGAGGAGTGTCAGCAACATAAATTACAAGGTGACTATAACTAGTCTGTAATTTAATTAGAGAGAAAAGAAGAAAAGCATGAAATAGAGAACGGCGGCGGGGCGGGGACTGAGTGCTGCCCTGTGTGATTGGAGAGTACAGACATGAGCGGATCAGATATTTTAGGTAAAGGCAGGACTCTGTGAGTTGGAGCAATGGTAGAAGGCTGCAGGGAAATAGCAGGCCGGGGTATCCTTCAATCCTGGTATTGAAGGATCCTGATATTTTCACAGGCAGAAGGGGTGGAAGGCACTGGGGACTGAGGGAGTAATGGGAACCCAAGCTCCGAACTGCAAGACCAGGATCAAGAGGGGCCTATCCTTACTGAGAGTCTGCAAAATGTAATCCCAGATTAAGTTACTCATTGACCATCCAGGAACTGAATAAAAGTGCCCACTATCTTATACTCTGTATCAGTCTCTAAAAGTAAAATAAGAATATATATTATTGTAGTTGGCAGTGGGGAGTCATTACAGGTTCTTGACCAAGGAAGCCATGAGAGAAACTTAAGTTATTTAATGGATGGATTTTTCATTCATCCTTCCACAGTTCCTAGCCGGCCCCTCTGTGGTCAGTGACGTGAAATTGTATATAGCCTAGGGCTATGAATTAGAGCTATGTCAGCCAGCCCAAGAGGGGATCCCATGTCTGTCCCAGACAGAAGGCATGTAATTTTCTGAGGGTCTATCAGTCTATCAGTGGGTGGCGTGTGACAGATGCTAAGGTAGCAACCGTCAAGCCCCCTATCCTAACACTACCGCCTCCCTCTGAGTCTCACCTCAGTCATCATGTGAACTCTCCCAGAGCCTCTTTATCTTCTTCCCATGGTCCTTCATTCCACCCTGCCCTCTTGGCTTCTTTCCCTGAACTGGAGAGGGAAGGCCAAGAATTAGAGGAGCATCTTGGCCTGAATGAATCTCATACCTACTGCAGGGAGCCTAGGCCTGCTTCAATCCAGCATCCAGAAAGCTCCAGGGTGAGGGAGGGTCTGCCCACAGAGAAGCAACCCCAGGAAAGCCTGCTCATTCTGAGACACACGGAGGCCTTGACCTGATGGGACATGAGCTTCTACACGTCCAGTTTGCCCCTGCCTCAGCCTGCCTGAAACTCAGCACTGAGCAGGTTCAGGTTACCATTGAATACCACTGACTGATGCATCAGTTGGTTGGTTGGCAGCATAACCCTAAAATTCAGCTCATATTTCTTTTCTATGTATTTTTCTTATCTTGTTCTGTTAGTGATAAGTGCTTGAAATGTTGAGTCTAGTCTCCTATTTCCTTTGTCAAAAAAGCTCCAATCACGTGTCTTCCCTTCTCTTGGTGTCGGATAAACATTACTGACTGATGGGCCCATCTTGTGGGTTGTGATTTGCCACCTGTAGTGAATTGAGCTCCAGGGATACCAGGTTCAGTTCACAGAGCGCTAC